AAAAAAAAAAAAAAAAAAAAAAAAATCCACGCAAACAGGTACCCAAAGGCCTACAGCAACATCAAATTCATCTCTTCTTTGCTATAATTAAAGTCCTTATGGCCGGTGAACACGAGAGTGGAAGTGGCAGCGGAACAGGTACTGTGGTTCACAAGACCATATCTCCATATGATATTAGTGTTAGCGATAATCCGGGCATGTCGATCACTCCGGTTAAGTTAAATGGTGCTCATAATTATGATGAATGGTCGCGAAGCGTACGGACTGCACTTCGTGCTCGTAAGAAATTTGGTTTTTTAAACGGATCTATACCTCGTCCAGATGAAGATTCGGAGTTATTTGAAGATTGGGATGCCAACAATTGTCTTCTTCGTTCTTGGATCATGAACTCAATTGAGCCTCGAGTTCGATCCACTATCACGGAGCCAGATCTTGCCCAGGACCTATGGTTGTCTTTGAAGGAGCGGTTTACTACCACGAACGGCCCACGTATTCAACAACTCAAGTCAGATTTGGCCAATTGTAAGCAAAAGGGGTTATCCATCGAGAGCTACTATGGCAAAATTAGCAAAATATGGGAGGAATTGGCTGAGTTTGAAAAGCCTCCCATGTGTCGTTGTGGCCATTGTCGGTGTAATCTGAACGTTGAATGGGACCGACGACAACAAGAGGAACGCGTTCATCAATTTTTGAAGGGACTCGATCACGTACTTTATGGTGTTCCTCGTTCTCATATTCTTGCACAAGAACCCTTGCCGTCTTTGAACCGTGTTTTTTCGATAATGGTGCAAGAGGAGCGAATGCGGACCATGGCTATTGGTGGTGACGTTCAACCTACTGTGGACGCCAGTTTTGCTATTCACACTGCTCCTGGCGGCTCGTATTTTGCTGCAGGGCAGACATCATCGTCTGGGATATTTCCTAGCACACCAGGGGCCGCATCCAGAGCTGCTGCAGGCGACATCCAGGTGGCTACTAGGGGCGACTTGAGCCGGGCTGCTGCCGCGAGTACTGGACAACGTTCATCCAACGAGAGGCCAGTATGTACCCACTGTGGTAAGAGTGGTCACGTGGTTGCTAACTGTTTCGATATCATTGGCTACCCAGACTGGTATTCTCCCTCCGGTTCTAGTCGAGGAGGTCGCGGAGGGGCTGGTCGTGGGCGTCGTGGCGGAGGCGGCCGGGGTCGCGGTGGTACCACACGTGTCAATGCTGCCGCGACTAGTTTATCTCCTGATTTTGGCTCCGGTTCCCAGCTTTCTGAGTCCGATCGGGCTGCTATCACTGGTCTTTCTAATGAGCAATGGTCCCATATTGTGAGTTTAGTCAATTCGGCTAAACAAGAACCTTCGGTGTCTGGTAAGCGTAGTATATATAATTGGATGTATGATTGTGGTGCTACGCATCATATGACAGGTTACTTGGATTTTTTGACCGATGTCCATGATATACCCTCTCGTCCGGTTCAATTGCCAAATGGGACATTGACTATGGCTTGTCAGGCTGGCACCGTGTTTTTGGGTTCTCATATTATTCTTCGTGACGTATTGTTTGTTTCTAGTCTCCGTTGCAGTCTCATATCTCTTTATCAGTTACTAGATCAGTCAGATTGTACTGCTCATTTTAATAATAAATTTTGTGCTATTCAGGATCGTACTTCGAGGATGGTGATTGGCACGGGTGAGCAGTTGGGGGGCCTCTACTTCTTTCGAGGGGCAGTTTCTGTAGCGGCGTCTCGAGTGAAGAAGGTTTCCTCTGATTTGTGGCATCAGCGTTTAGGCCATCCTTCGTCTACCGTGTTATCTCAGCTTCCGGTAGTTGATTTTAGTTCTAGTCCACTGAATAAAACATGCGATGTGTGTTTCCGTGCTAAACAGTCTCGAGATAGTTTTTCT